TATCTTGGTCGAATAAAACATCCTAATCTTGTTCCTCTAACTGGATATTGCTTGGCTGGAGAGCAGAGGATTGCGATTTATGAATACATGGAAAATGGAAATCTGCAGAACTTGCTTTACGATTTGCCACTTGGTGTTCAAGCTACAGAAGACTGGACCACTGACACTTGGGAAGAAGATGAAATTAATGGGATACAAAATGTTGGGACAAAAGGATCACTAATAACTTGGAGATTTAGGCACAAAATTGCTCTTGGCACTGCTCGTGCACTGGCATTTCTTCATCATGGCTGCTCGCCTCCAATTATACACAAAGATGTCAAAGCAAGCAGTGTTTATCTCGACTCAAACTTGGAACCACGACTGTCAGACTTTGGGCTAGCTAGAATTTTTGGAAATGATCCTGACAATGAGATAGCCAGTGGTTTTCCAGGGTATGTGCCACCAGAGTTTCTTCAGCCAGAAACCAGCTCTCCAAAGTCTCCAACGCCAAAATCTGATGTTTATGGATTTGGAGTAATTCTTTTTGAACTAATTACTGGGAAAAGGCCTGTTGAAGATGATTATCCAGATGAAAATGATGCATCTTTAGTAAGTTGGGTGAGAAGTTTAGTAAGGAGGAATCATGCATCACGAGCTATTGATCCCAAAATTCGCGGAACGGGACCAGATGAACAAATAGTCGAGGCCTTGAAGATTGGATATCTATGCACTGCTGAAATTCCTTCAAAGAGGCCCAGCATGCAACAGGTAGTTGGACTACTGAAGGATCTTGAACCTATCATACAAAAATGAATACATTAAATAGGAGAGAATGTTCAGTTTTTAACGAACTTTTGTTAGATCTTTTCACTAGATGAACTCTCCCTTGCTGCCCCGAAGATATTGTAAAGCAGCCTTAGTTTTGTTTGCAACTCTGCCATTTTCTCAGAAATGCTATTGTTAATTGAGTATGTGCTTGATTGATACACCGTAACTTGATCCTTAAAGATCATATTGTTCATGCATTTATTTGTTTGTTGATATTCTTTGAATTCTTGTAGGCATTTCACGTATAGCGTCTGTTGTAATCTTGTTGTTCAAATTAAAAGTGGATGAAGGATGAATTAAGAAAAGAGGAGAACATGCCCTGAAAAATGGTCTATCCAATCGCATAAGCCATTTAGGCTTGCGGTTGCCTATGGATTTTCAGAAATTTCAAGTGCCGCAAGTTATGCGACCACATAGTTATAGCGTATGCGTTGCATAGTTATAAAATGTGACGATTGGCTACGTTTTTTGATTTTTCTGGTGGTTTATTGATGAAATATTGCACCTCTTTGCTTTGAGATTGGAACCATTTCATATGGGATGATTAAAATCTATAAATACATGTTGTGTTCATCCCAAAATGCATGAAAAAATTTATTGATTATTCATACAACTTTTGAAAGAAATTTTGTCTCTCTACATAATCAACAAATTCCTTCTTTTCACGTGTTCATTTGAAGATTTACTTTGCTTTTGGTGTTTTTCATTGAAGGCATTGTGGAGGAGGTAAATATCGTTTGAGGACAACAATTTGTTTTCGTGTTCAAGTCTTC